AACCGTTGGTCCAAAATGCAACGACACACATCATTACATTTGTGGATTTCACATCGATTCCAGTTGATTTTCAGGTCCAACTTAAGGTACCGTTATTGATCAAAGGTGGTTATCTAGATACCTTCAGGATCACCTCCCATCGGTAAGTTACACAAAAAAGAACCTGCTGTGAATCCTGCATTTTGAGATATTTCAGGGATTGGTTAAGTGATGGTAAGGTTAATAGTGTCAGTATTGTGGCACATCTGTGAAAAGATCAGATTCTTTTGGAGAGTTTTGAAGACTGAATTGTTTTGGAAAGCTTTCACTTAATCTTTCTGTTATTTGTATTTTATGTTGTATTTTTAAATTGTTTCTGTAGTTGCTTATTTATGCTTAGATGCTTTCTGTAAACTACTGAACATCTCTTGGTCATAACAGTAGAAATATGACTAATAAAATAAGCATAAGAAATGCTGCTCATGGTATATAAAAAGAAGTGTGAATTCAGTTGACGCTGTTTAATCATTCAGCATGGCATATTCAAGCAATACATATGTTTCCAAATTTATGGGTGGGTGTTTTATACTAAAACCAACATTCACGTGCCTGAGATTGGGGAATTGCAGAAGGTGGAAAACCAACAGAGCATCTAAGTTAAGGGAAAAAAAATATGGTGTAAGGGAATGCCATTTTACCCAATAATAATCTCACCTCTTTTTGCCCTGAGGGAAGATTCTTTATACAAACTTCAGTTGGACAAAGAACATTATGTACTTCATGTACTTTTTGTATAGTATAGTACTTTTTTTCTCATAGAATTTGATACTCTGTCCAAACTTGCAAACCTAATTTTCATAGCAGTAATACTTGTGATGTTCTTGGTTGTGCTAGGTTTTTGACACCCTTATTATAAATGTTTTGGACTCTTTATTATTCTATGCCTTGATAAAACGGATGTGCAAAGACTGGAAAGGGCTAAAATTTGAAAAAGGAGTGACCGGAATAAAAAAAAAAAATCAGGTATTTGTTTTTCCATTCACGCAGTCACATTCAGCCGGTTTGCACCGGTTCACGCGAACCGGTAGCAAGGATTTGGTGTGGATCGCCAAACCGGTAGTAACTTCTGGCTGGCCACACCCCCAACCCGCTCACCTGACTTTCGCCTGCCATGTCACTCCTTAAGGTATTTTTCCCCCTCCCGACAATCAGCTGTTCCTGTGCTGGGATTCGCCTCATTTACTGCTTCACCCAAGCGGGCTTCTCTGAGGCCCAGGAAGGCAAAAAAAAAATGGAGGGAAGACGCACAGACCCACGTCCGCGCTCCATTTTTTTGCCTTTCTGGGAGCAAAAATGCCACCCCAGGAGGCTTCTCTGAGGCACGGAAGGTCCCAAAATGAAGCCGGGGGGGGGAGTGCTGCGTGCCCTCTCCAGGCTCCCTTTTTTTACCTTCCTGGGAGCAAAAACTCCCCCTCCCAGGAGGCTTGCCTGAGGCCCAGAAGGCCCCAAAAATGGGTGCCCCCCCCCAAAAAAGCCATGCCCACCCAGTCACATGGCCACACCCATCTAGCCACACCCACAGGACCGGTAGTAAAAAAAAAATTGAATCCCACCACTGCATCTATGTAATTCCTAGTTATTGCGCTGAAGTCTTCTGTTACTCTTTCACTTGTACATAAAACAACTGTTTTCTGTTTTACTCATAAAGTTAGATTGAAGCTTTGAGTAGAAAACCAATTGTGTTAAGGAATACTTACCATTTTTTTTTATGATGAGAATGTAATAGAGGGGATATCCATTATACGGTATGTGATTTTAGCTTTTAGTTTGGTTTTGGTTCATGTTGGTTTTTTCATATGATTTAGGATGGGAAATACATTAAGTACATTAATATGTTGAAATTAAAATACTGAAAATTTGAAAGTTTGTGATATTTGAATTCATGAAATATATATATGTGTGTGTATGTATATATGTATATGTTTTCTTAAGTTTTCGCGGGTACTTACATGTATGGTATTCAGCTTTGTTCGGGTATTTTCCCACGTCATTATAGTTGTGCTTTAAAAGCACAACTATAATGATGTGGGAAAATACCCGAACAAAGCCGAATACCACACACACACACACACACACACACACACACACACACACACCCCTACATAAAAGCGAAATACCACTCGTGCATCATCACGAAATCTCCAGAACCGTAAAGCCTACAAACTTGAAATGTGGCACTTATGTTCCTCTTGGCTTCTAGGTGCTCGCTAACAAAGGATTTTTCGAAATGACCATCAGAGCATTTGTACTTCGTCTATTATTATTAACACGCTCTGATGCTAAGGAGTTCTACTCCCCCTCCCCACCGGAAAAGAAATCTGTTCCAAATGCAAAACACAAGCAGAGGAGTTTCATTTTCAGAGCACCAAGCAGCTTTAGTACAGAACAGTTCCACTAAGCCATGCCCAAGATCCTTGCTGTCTCTTTGCTGTTTTCAGTTTCCAAACAGCCCTCAACTCACACGTTGACAGGATGCTAGCCAGATGAATAGCGATGGATGCTGGTTAGGCAGAGGCAGAATTTTTTTCCCCCTTATTTTCCTTTCCTAAAACTAAGCCCCTAGCGAAGCACGGGTATCGAGCTAGTATAGAATATAATCAGCAATGTCCCCTGGGAGTTTAAAGACTAGGTTTCAGTTGGAGCAAAACAATTGAAGTCCTGCTCTTTGTACACGTGTGCAGCATCAACACCCACAAAAGGAATCTCAGGCTTCAAAGCTGCTAATCCAATCGTGATTTTATTTTTATCCCCACAACTTTATCCTACGATGCCACTAAAGATGATTCCTCGTTAGAAAGAAATCGCTCTTCTGGATGTAAGTGTTAAAGATTAGGCCTTTGCTGACTTTTTACGTACAATGTCTGTGTCCTCAGGGTCGCCTGAGTAATGCAAATGGGTGTGGACCCTTTTGTGGGATATCCCCAACAGTCTACGCCTGTGTCCATCAGGGACACGGGGCAGAAAATATCCTGCAGAAGGGCCCCATACCCATTTGCACTACCTGGTGACCCAGACAAACCTCCAAGTGGCCTCAGTGACTCTCCAAAAGAATGCAAGTGACCAGCTGCCTGCAAGGAATAGAAGTCCTTCCGTTCCCCACTATTTCAGTCAGAGCTGGTGAAGCTTCTTTATGAGAAGTGAAATGTCTTCAAAGAAACAAAAAAACAAGAAAATTGAATTGCCTCTTTAAAAAAGCACTTTGGGGATAATCATCCTTGGATTCATAATTTCATGATGTATGCCTTTGTCATTCTTTCTCAGTGTTCAGCCATGTATTATCACCATTGGGAAAACATAGTTTTCCTCCCCAAGTCTCCAAATCACTTTTTAATAAGTATGTACTAGCTCGATACCCCGTGCTTCGCTACGAAACCCTGTGTCAGGCTTAGTTTTGGGGGAGGAAAATAAGGGGGGGAAAAATTTCTGCCTCTGCCTACCAGCATCCATTGGTGTTCATCTAGCTAGTGTCCTCTGAGTGTTTAGGGCTGTTTGTAAACTGAAACAGGATTTGCTGTGTGAACAAGGAGACAGACCGCAAGGAGCCTGGGTGTGTACTGAAGCTGGTTCTCTGAAACTTGAAACTCCTCTGCTTGTATTTTCCATTTGGAACATTTCAGGTGGGAAGGGGTGCCAGGCAGTAGAACATAGCCTCAGAGCATGTTAATAATAATATACGAAGTACAAATGCTCTGATGGTCATTTCGAGAAATATTTTCTTAGTGAGCACCTAAATGCCAAGAGGAACATACGTGCCATATTTCAAGTTTGTAGGCTTTACAATTCTGGAGATTTTTGTGATGATGCGTGAGTGGTATTTTGCTTTTATATATATATGTATATATATAGATTTTCATATCTATAAAGCTACAGTAATGGAAATGTATAATACCATATCCATTACCTTTTAGTAAGGTTTTTGTTTTATAGGTTAACTTCTTTTAAGATGAATTTTTCCAATGTTCGTCAATACTTTGAGGACTTTATAATGAAAAACGGCAGCAGCAATGGTGTCAGCTAATGCAAAGATAAAAATGTTGCTCCACTGATTTCCAGTACCTAAAATTTCTACCAGCACTGGGTCTATTACAACTTAATAAGTGTTTGAAAATCTAAATTTAGGGTCTGTAAATTAGGTTCTATCTGTCCTCCCTTCCCCCTCTACTATATACGACCCTGCAATATAATTTCTTATGATGAAGAAATCTAATTTCCTCTCAGCTGACACTTTAATGAAGAAAACTAATATTAATAAAGGTGACCTGTTTACTGATATAGTTTTAGAGCCATAATTGCCTTTTATGTCAAAGACTTGTTTTTGTGCCTGTGTTTCCAACGATAGTTGACAGTTAATATCTTTTCTGACCATTTTTACCTCATTTGTTTGGTATTCTGTCTCTAGTGAGCTGTCCTTTTTGTTTCCTAACTTCTAACCTCACATTTGGCATGTTTTGTGTATATTCACTGTTGTGGGCATCCTTTAATTTTTTTAAAATCGTTTGAATTTTTAAAAAAACCCTATTAAAATGGAAATAATCTCTGAAAAGTCTATTGGTTTTACTGCCGCCACTAAACCCTTTCCTGGTTTGGAAATGGCCTTTTCTTTTCTTTTATATATTTGACCAAACGTGACTCAGAAATAAGAAGCTGCAGAAAACTGTAGTCCCTTTGTACTGATGTTTAAACAAGGAAATTGGTTAAGATTAGTTTATAAACCAGTTCCCTTAACATGACATACTTACCGTCAATTCCTGCCTCTCCTGGAATTAAATAACACTGTCCCTCTGACAGAGGTTCAGCTCTCTTAGTTACATCCTTTCGCCTCTTAAATCTGTCATTAGTTTCCCCATTCTGAAATATAACCTAGAAGGTGCACTATATTCCTCTACTTTGATAGTTCTAGTGCTCAAATCATGACAATTCCTCCTGGAAGCTGGAAAAGCAAAGACCAAATGGTTGCCATACACAAAAGTTTATTTTTTTTTGTTGTTGTTTTTTGTTTTTGAAAGCAAAATAGAATCAAACATCAATGTATTTTGTACAACAAAAATGTATGATAACAGACAATTTATGAAGAGCTTAAAACGGGTTCTCTCCTAAAAGAGAAATCATGCTTTCTGGTAGTCAACAGGGAGTTGGCACAGAAAATACGGCAGTCATTGAAGAACTGTTTTCCTTCAGATCCTTGTTAGCTGATGCCAGAGACTGGAGGGCAGGATGCTTTCCACTTTTTCCATCACAAAGTTCAAAGGAGCAAAGAGAGTACTAAGAAACTGCAAGAAAAAGAGTTAATGGTTAATATCTGATTTGTACCATTCAACCTAGTTCGGAATAACATAAGCTTTCATTTGAAATAATTTTTTATATCTTTAAGCAGATACACGTAAATCAATTAATACAGTATAAAGATTATTTAATCTGCAGAGCAAAACTTTGTCCTGATGACTTTTCTATAGATAATATGCTACAAAAATTTATAGTTTAGATCTAATTTGATGGATGATTTAAGCCCTTCAACTCACTGGGGATCTCTTTCCTATTATGACTAGGTTTTCCAATACTCTCTAATGATTTTGTTTTAATCACGGGGACCACCAAATAAAACGAACTTTAAGGATATGGTATGGGCTGGCCAGAAATTGAACTGATAATAAAAAATAACATTTGGCTAGATCCTAAAAGCAAGATACTGATAAGGCTGCATAAGGACATAAAAGTATGTCAGCCTCCCGCCCCCCCTGTTTTTTTTTTAAAAAAACTGATCATTTATCACTAAAAGTGGAATGAAAGAGTAGCAAGAGCAGGACAAAATATATACTGGAATTCCCTTGCTAAGGTGGTAAGTCTGGATTTGTTTTACCTCCACTGAAACTGGTCCTTTAGTTTGCATTTTATCTGACTTATATTTCTTTACTGTGTTGTATTTTATCTCTTGATTCTATTATACATGATTTCATATATGTTCTCAGATGATTTTTTTTTTAATTGTAAGCTGCCCAGACCTGTTAAGGAGTTGTCTGCTCTTGGGACTTCCGTTTTGGGCTTGTTTGGCGACGGACCAAAATCTGCGATTGAGCGCGGTTTCGATCTGTGCTCTCTGCTGGAGCGCCCCAAGCTGCTTGGATTCGGGGCTGAAGTCAACCCGGAGAGGTGGTGAAGAAGGGGGAGACCGCCAGTGGGGTTGAGAGGAGCCGCATCTCTCCTCGGCTGGCCATTACTCCCTTTCCCAAAGGCGGTTGCAGCGGTGGTCAGAAATGGCCACCTCAAAGAAGAACCCAACTGGACAAGCTTGTGCAGGAGGAAGTTTAAAGGAGAAAGTTTGACTGACTGGGATGAACGGAGAAAACATCTATTTAAAGTACCTGGAACTTGAATTACAAAGACTAATACTATCCCTAAAAAAGATTTTTAAAGCGTCAAAAGGGAAAGAAAAAAGAATTGGGTTTTTTTCTCTCTCACATTGACAGCTCTAATTGACTTTGAATGTTAAGAAGAAGAGATCTAAACAAGAAATTGATATTAATCCACTTTGTCATTAACAAGCTATTTTTAGCTGAAAATAGAGTGTCAAAGGGATAAAGATTCTTGGATAATTTAAAAATTTCAAAAAGAAAGCAGAGGGGGAAAAAAGAGGGTGGAATCTGGAAAAATGGAGACCATCTGGAAGTAAAAAGAATTGATAGTGGAATTTTAACAAGACCTGTAAAGTACACATTGTAGCTGAAACTTGGTTACAAGATAACAAAGCCCCTGGAAAGAAAGAAAAGAAGCAAGAAGCTTTGGATTATTGGGTGATTCCTGGAATTTTGGATGGTGGATCCTAATGAAATGAAATAAAATCAATTGGGGGTTGCTTAAAAATCTTTAAAATGGCATCACTCCTTGGAGAGCTAAAGAACAAAAAGACTTAAAGAACAAAAAGAAGCACAAGAGGGAAGAGGATCTTTTGGCTTCGTATTTCAATTTTTAGAAATGGAGATTTTTGAATTATGAAAAACAACAAGAAACGCTGGCAGAACAAGAAGGGCGGGACAAAGAAGAAGCCATCTTCAATGACTAAGCAATTTTAAGCGGGGTAAAAAAGGGAAAGGGAGTTAAAAACTTAAGACTTGAAACAACCAACCAAAAAAAAGAGTAATTTGAAAAGTAACTATAACATTAGGAAGAAGCAGAAGGGAGGATCACAGAAGGGAGAATCAGATAGAAAAGGGAATAAAAAGGAGAGAGAGAAGAAGAGTGGGAAGATGGAAAGGAAAAGTTATAAAGGACAGAAATAAGATATAGAGAAACAGGAAAAACCTACAAGAATTAAAGGTATAAGCCTATTTAAAAGACAGAGACAATGGTTTAACTTAAAGAGAGGATTCTGCAAGGGTACATGAGATAGCATTGTTATACTAGAAATAGAAAAGAGTTAGAAAATATGATAGATGATTAAAGTGACATAAAATTGGCATTGATATGTAATGGAATATTTGTTAGTAATTAAATGAAACAGGATAAGAGAATAAGTCAATGATTTTTAAAGAGTATATAATTGAAATGAAAGATTTTTAATGAAATTAATATCGGTTGACAGGATGATTTTGAATAATAATTGACTGTTAACTATTGTTTTGTTTTTTGTTTAAAGACCATAAGGAATAAAATATGAAATATAGGTGATTAAAGTGAATGACAACTGATATTATTAGTTAATGTTTCTTGAAAGATGGAAATATTTTAAATAGAAATGTAAAAGATTGCTATCAATATTAATGGCTGAGCTGAACTCGAATAGAATAATTATTTCATTTACTATTGTTATACATACATATATATATATATATAAAATCTGTGTGTGCGTGTGGTATTCAGCTTTGTTCAGGTATTTTCCCACGTCATTGTAGTTGTGCTTTTAAAGTTGTAGCAAAGTTTCAGCAGAATCTCATGTGCCATCATCAGGCTTCTGTATTGTGTTCGTCTGTGAGTCAGACTTTCACAGCCGTTTCTGTTTTAAATTTGGTGCTAGCCTGCACTGTGTCAGAATGGTTTTTTCTTCACCCTGATTGGTTGGGACTCTTGGTCTGTGTTTATTGGTCTTCGAATTTGCTGTGTTCTGCTTGATTGGTGTTTCTAATATCTTCTGTCTGTTTTGTAGCATTTTTTTTTTTTTGTCTTGATTAGCTGGCAACATTGTGTTTCCTGTATTGGAGGCTTGGCTTCGAGTAAACGGACGGCTATCATTTATTAGGAAGCTAGGTTTCACCTGGGTGCCTGGGGGGGGGTCAGTTTGTGCCCAGGTGTTTGCTTGGCTTGTGGTGTGGAGATCTGTTTGTTTGTGAGTGCAGGCTTCCAAATAATTGACAGTCTGGTGGAGTCATCTCTTCTATTCATGCTTTCAGGTCTTTTTTCAATCTCTATGGCTTCTCTGATAATTCTGTAGCTGGGGTTTTCTATAGTGGCTAGGGTTTTGGTGCCATTGAAGTTGATGCTATGACCTGTGGCTTTCATGTGTTGGACTAGTGAGGAAATGTGTTCCAGCTTTTTTACTGCAGTTTTGTGTTCATCCAGGCGGGTACTTATTCTTCTATTGGTCTGTCCGATGTATGTGGCAGGGCATGATGTGCAGGGGACTTCATATATGCCTTGGTTTTCCAGGTCAATGTTATCTTTGGCGTTTCTTAAGATGGCTGCTATATTTCTGTATATTCCTCATACAAACCCATAAACACAGACCCAACCACATATCTGGAAAAAATAACCAAGGAGAAAAACATAACCAGCCACATGAGCAAAGAGATCCAACAGACGATCATCCCAAGAGAAAAATCTTCCAGATGCCCCAAACTATCCGGCCTCCCCAAAATACACAAAGAAGGCATACCTCTCAGACCCATAGTCAGCTCCAGAGGAGCACCACTACAAAACCTAGCCAAATACTAAGCAAAGCAGCTACAGCCCCATGCTGAAGCAGCAACTTCACATGTACAAAACTCATACCACCTCTTGGAAATGATCAAAGATCTACACATGGAACAAAAAGATCTGCTTGTAAGTTTCGACGTGGTTTCACTATTCATTCAAGTCCCGATAAAAGAAAGTCTTGAAATCATCAAAAATAAATACCAACCACCCAAACACCTCATGGAACTAACAGAACACTGCTTAACCAACACGTATTTCATATACAAAGGACAAAGATAAAAGCAAATTGAAGGAGCCCCTATGGGATCATCACTGTCACCCATCATTGCAAACCTGTTCATGGGAGAATTCAAATCCAGAGCCCTAGCCAATGCCACCCACAAACCCAAACTATGGTTAAGATACATCGATGACACATTTGTTATTTGGCCCCATGGAAAAGAAAACCTAAACAATTTCCTAACACACCGAAACAGCACACACCCCAAAATCAAATTCATGGAAACGGAAACAAACAACGACCATTCCTAGATGTACTAATCTGCAAAAAAACAGATGGCACACTAGGACACATCATATACCAGAAGAAAACACACACCAACCACTACCTCAACGCCCAATCCCACCGCCACCCAGCACAGATAAACTCCATGGCCAAAACACTAATTGCCAGAACCAAACGCCTGGCAGACAAGACACACATAAAGACTGAACTATGCACCCTGACTAAAGTACTGACAGCCAACGGATTCCACAAAAGCAAAATCACTGGCTTGATCCACAAAAATACACTGAGACATAATGGAGACCTAGAAGATGAACAGACCTATGGAACAGCTGGCACAGCAGTAGGCTAGCACCAAATTTAAAACAGAAATGGCTGTGAAAGTCTGACTCACAAACACTATACAAAAGCCTGATGATGGCAGATGAGATTCTGCCGAAACATTGCTACAACTTTAAAAGCACAACTATAATGACGGGAAAATACTCGAACAAAGCTGAATACCATACATACATACATACATGTGTGTGTGTGTGTGTGTTTTCAAGAACTTAGTGTGTATTTTTAAGGGAATGGACCAAGCAGAATTAGGTTGATAATAGTTATGTGTTATAAAATAGAGATTAGAAAATGAATGTTATAACTGTAAAGGCATAATTTAAACTTTAAACAAGATTTGAATGGATAATAATTAAAAGATACAAAGGTGTTACACTCCAGTCTAGTAATTACAGGGGAAAAATTGTTTGATGAGAAAAGAAAATATGAAATTGTAAACAGGACAGACAAAAGTATAAAAATATTGATTAGAAAGATACTGAAAATTAGAAAAAGATATGTAATTGAACTTAGAAAGGAATGAGATAATTAAAATAAGGTTACAGAAAGCAAGGAAAGGGAAAACTATTGAGAAAACTGAAAATAGTTATAAGATATGGTTTAGAATACATAAGATGAATATGTAATTGAATCTATGTCTTTATAGAGAAGTGATAACCCGGGAGCATGCTGCTCTCAAAAAAAGATATTTTATTTGTATTTGTATGTTTTGTGAAAACCCAAATAAAACTCTATAAAAAAAAGGCGTTGTCTGCTCTTAAAATCAAATTAAATTCAATAAATAGAAGTCTCGCATTGAGAACTACTGACATGATGCCGGTTGTAAACATTAATTAATAATACTGTATGTGATCTTAACTATCCTTCCCACGTGTGAATATATCGTTTTAAATGCTCCCATCATAACACATTTTAAAAAGTGGTATTGCTTCTTCGAATTAACCATCTATTTTATTCATTTCATTTGAAATATATTCTCGCATTGGAAGAAGAACCCTGACAACAGATTAGTAACATTCCAACTCAAATCAAATTCCTCTAATTCACTGCTAAAATATAGTGACAAATAATGATTTGTAAAGAGGATAGTTGCCATATGGCAAAAAAAAAAAAAAAAGAGAGAGAGAGAGAGCAACCATTGTGCTTGCTGATTAAAAAGCCCGTTGTCCCATGATTTATTGACTCACCCCTCCCCTTGATCCATCAGAAATGAGTAAGTGACAGGATACTCACTGCTTTTGCAAACACGCCCATTAGTTCTGGGAACTGATGCGTCAGAAGGGCCAACATAGCTGTGAAAGAACATAGTCCGGCAGTGAACAGAATAAAGAATGGAAGTTCTTTCTTGGGGTAAACCGAGACTTCGTGAAACGCTGCCAAGAAGATAAGGGAAAAAATAAATAAACAAGTGAAAACACTTTTAAGCAGAATTACAGATTTTTCAACCGATCTGGTTAAATTTCCTAAAATTATTTTATTATAAATCCCCATGATTCTTACAATTAATTGTATACTGTACTTGGTTTTACGCTGTTAATAATTAAACATCTTTTTTCTTTTATTAAACTAAAAAAAATGCATTAACAGAGTTAATAAAATAGTACAACATCAAAGTATGAAAAGGAGAAGGGATCCTGGACTTAATCTGGAGAACAAAATAATAACTTCTGGTTGTTATCAGAAGATGCTTAATCTAGTTTTTGCATGTTTTATTAATGTAATACTAACTGATAGGTGTATCCTTTCACTAATGTTTTTTGCTTGTTTAACAAAGCAATAAACGCATACTTCATTGAATTTCTGTTCAAGATAATTTCATATTAAAGATTCCAGCTTGAATCGCTTTTGTTACATTGTATAATTCTTGACTGAAGACTTGCAAGCTCAATCATGAACACATCAAAATAAATTCAGTTGCCTTCTTCACACTATATAATCAGTTTTTTAATTTTAAAAAATTGGGGTTTTTTCGAAGTCTTACATGTTGCACAAACTGAAAACTCCAGGAACCAACATTTTTCTTTCCCAATCCAAGTTGCAAATAAAAACAGCTATGTCTAATTTTTAATTCCAGGATAGCAAGAGTTTCTCTTCCAATTTTCAATCTGGAGTACCGATGAAAATGTAATAATGGGCTTGTAATCCAATTCAAACCTGGGTTGCTACATCTCAGGCAGAGATAGATCTCTGTTCAAAACCAACTATTGATAATCCTAATATTCCATTCCGAGAATAACTGGATAAACTTATAGAGCAAGAAACCTTCCTTGTTTATGAGCCAATTCATATAAGTTATTCTTGCTTATTGAAAGATAAAACCAGGGGGGAAAAAAATCCAACTTACACGGGAGAAGTTCTCTATCTGCTGTTTCGGTACAAATGGGATAAGGATAAAAAAGGTGCCCTTTTTCCAAAGGATAAGGAATCATTCTGAAAGCTAAAGAAAAACAAGTTTTTGAAGATTGCAGAGTAACTTTCTGCAATTTAATAGATTCTAGAAGTCCGGCTTTCAATTCCCATAACCCCTAGTCAGATTGGTCGGTGCTTTGTTGAAATGGGAATTTTAAGTCCACTATACCTTTTAGTTAGGTAAAAGTTCAATGCAGTGAAATCCAGTGAACTTTTGAACTTCTCTGAAGTTGCATATAGTAGAACCTCTGGCCACGACCATAATTCGTTCCATAACTTTGGTGATTTCTTCATCTTCAGGAATTTCTAGGTCAGGGGTCATGTTTGATCGCCAACTGTGTATGTGTCCGTGACCAATTCAAAAATTTTGTGAATTTTTCGGTCAGAACCTGATTTGGTCGTGGACAGAAGCGTTCATGACCAGAGGTTCTACTGCATAGTCCACCTTGTTCTGAATTGTTAATGTAATTTCCATCTGTTTATCTGTAATGAGCCACAAAGCATATTCTTATACAAATAAATTGAATCAATATATGGTAAGTTGTAAGAATTTTATTTTCCTGCCTTTAGAAGGAAAAAAATCGGTAAATTATATGGCCTGTAAATAATATGGCAAAGCAGGTCATCAAAATATCTTAAACATTTCTATTGAAAAGTAAGTCCCATTAATTATATTAATTATGATTTTACCCCCAGGAAAATATATATATATATATACCCTCTAGTCTTTTAGTGGTGGTAGGTTTGTTTGGATTCTAAGAACATTTCATAGATGTTCTCACAAAATTATTGACATAGGAGATGTGTCACTCTTATAAAACAGTTACCAAAGTTAGCATATCAAGTTATAAAACACCTTTCTCAGAATCCAAACTAATTAAGTTAGAAAACAAAAAATTCTTTACTTAACAAGTGACAAATGTGAACTGAGCTCCAAAACATGGATCCATAATACCCACAGGATCTACTTGCATCAAAAAGAAAAGACAAGATACAGAGTAATCCATCACTATCTCATCCACAGATAAGATGACTACTTTTTTTCTAGGCGCATATCAAAAGGAATCAGCTGTATACCCAGCAATCTTATTTCTTGAATGTAGGTTACAAGGAATTCTAGAGATAAGGCTTTATTCTGCAGCATAGCGGCCTTCTCTTTAAAAACAACAAACAGCTTTAAATTGGAAATTGTAAGAAATTAAAAGCTACTAGAAACCAACGTGCAAACGAATGGAAGCCATAAGTACTACAGGAAGATATGGAATAGCAGTGTTAGGTAAAATGTGTTCTTCAGTGTGTTCTAGATCTCCTAGAATTAATATGTTGTAAATAATATGTAACCATAGGTGCCAGTCTGTGCTATTAAGCTTTTCCCACTAAAATGTACCTATTTGATGTAAACAAACATTAAAGCAATATTGCAAACATTCGTATTAGGGCTGTGGACTGCTTCTAGCGTCAATCCCTCCCAATCCTAGAAAAACCATAACAAATTTAAAGTAACCTTAGAGAGGTGCTACTTTTGCATTGCTGTGTACTCTGCATAAGAAACAGGAAGTCTATGAAAGTGTGTATTCCCATTCCAGGATATTTTTCAACTCGATCTGTTCTACGGGCTTGGTCATCCATGGAAGTCTTTCATCCAAGTACCATCCAAACGTGATGGTATTTATTTGAAGCTCAAAGCTTTAAAATTAAAACTCAAAGTTGGTCAAATGCTGCTACCAGCTGGGCAGCTCCGGTAAGCGTTCCAGTGTCTGGCACCAAACTGTACCATTATGTTTCATAAGACTGTTGGTCATTTGTGGAACTGCCATTATTCTACAAAATAGGCATTTTAGTCTGGAAATTTGCTTTGATTTGGAGATCTCCAATTTAATTTAGTAAACTTAAGGAAAGTCATCTAAACTTACTGGCAATATTTTTCTATTCTCCAAATGACATCAATCTTATACTGTGTATAGTTTGTCAACTCATTTGGGCACCCAAGTTATGGCTATACTGAAAAAGTAATTTATGACTGGCTCTTGCACTTCTGACTGTCTGTCCCTGGAGTCACGTGCTTCCTGTCATACGCTTCTAAGAAAGTGAATTACTTACTGCCTTCCCACGTACAATGTAAGAGATTCAGAGCGCCCTCAACTCTTTTCCAATGCTGAAGATGAAAGAAAGCATACGCAATTGCTTCACTGTCACCTCGCTTCAAAATATGTTCAGGGGGTAATATTAAGCTTTTCATTTCTAGAAGATACTACAACAGAAAAAACAGTAAGCATACAGTCATTATCCAGACATAAAAGGAAAAGATCATTATAACCCAACCACACAAGCCCTGAATATTGTTCAGCTGTAAAAGTTTTATTAAATCTATATTTTTATCCATTGCTTTTGATAATAAATTGTTCCTGTATCATAAATGCTAAAATATACCAGCAAATTGCAAGTACCTTATTCTTCAGCTCTTTACAGATAGCAGAAAACAACACACAGCTGTCTCCTTAAAAGGATACAGAAAAAGTTACGTTTGAAATCCAAAGCATTATCCAAAAAAACCTTTTGTACCGAGTTGATAAATGGAGTGTGTGAAATGGTATAATATAAGACATTGCAAGAACATACGTTGGGTTAATAGTTTTCTGCAAAATATAGATCAAGGTAAAATTATGCACACTGTCATATCTGCCCCAATCTGATCCCTTAGGAAAGAAAGACCCTTGACTCCATTTGGTTGAAACGAAAGTTTCTTTTATTAAAAAAAAAAATGTTAGCTGTGGTAAAGTCAGGCTAGCATTTTTGGCAGCTCAAGCTCCACAGTCCCCGGGTTAATAATCCTTTTTATGGGGAAAGGTCCAGCGTATTTAGGCCCCAATTTTTTGGATGATTCTCTAGATTGTAAATTTGGTAGATAGATAGACCTTATCTCCCACTATAAAGTCCTTGGCTTAATGCACTTTTTATCCGCTTGTGTTTTATATACTTCCGTTGCTTCATCCAAAGTTTTTCTCACTAGCAGCCAGGAATTCTGTAGTTGGGTGACCCACTGTTTTAGTGATGCAGATGTGGGGGATGTGCTGAAACATCTCAGGGATAGATACAGAGTCCTGTCCCGTGGCCACTTCATATGGAATGAACCTGGTGCTATTGTGTCCTGAGTTATTGTAGACGACTCCCATGAAAGGGAGAAGGCCTTTCGAATTAGTAATTAACGTAATACCTGAGATAATGCTCCAAGACCCCATTTGTATGTTCGCAGGCACTATTAGTAGCCAGATGATATGAGGAGCTGAGCCCCTGTGTGGGAACTATGATTCTTTGTTCTTTGTGTACGTGCTAGGACAACGGAGCCTTCTGGTGGTTGGCTGGGACACGGAGCAAGGAGCAAAGACAAATTGTTGCCATTTCTTAACCAGAACTGTAGCAAACTGAAACTCTGCAGCCTTGTATGCTTTATGCGAATGATCAGTGCATGTTGTGTGATGTAATGCGTTTGTGATAGGACGTTAACAAAATTGCTACGTTAACAAAGATTGCTTCTAATAAAAGAGGGTTTCGGAGTTCTCTCTGCGCTCTCATCCCAAGACAACTTTGCGAAGTGTCTTCTTTTCATGAGAGACCACCACACCCCTGAGTGGTTCCCAAGAGGTTTAGGAAGTCCTGCCAAAAACCATGACATAAATTGGACCCTGCAATCTGAGATTATTCTTACTAGAGCACCATGCAGCCAGTAGACGTGCTGCACTAAAAGCTTAGCCAATGTGCAAGTGAAGGGGATTTTTTTGACAGGGTCTTGTTTGGAAAACCAGTCAGTTATCATTCAAATTACTGTATTGCACAAGTTTTTAAGACAGTCCTACTATAAAGTCCATCGATATCTCTTTCCATGGGGCTTTAGGTTCTGCTACTGGCTGGAGAATCCCTGTTGTCTTCCCTTGTCACCTCTTGGCGGAGGTACAGATAGGGCAGCTAGCTCCATAACTCTCTCTATGTCCTTCTTCAGTGATGGCCACCAAAATTGCCGCTGGATAAGCTGTAGGCTTTTTACGAAGCCGGAGTGTCCCGCCACTTTTGAATCATAGCTTTTTTGTAGAATCATTCACCGTTGACTCTCTGGAATGTATAGCTTGGCCCCTCCTCAAGCTAGACCATCTTACGCTGTACATTCACCCTTAATGCATTTGGTACCATTTCTTTTTCTCCAAACTGCCTTTAGATCATTGGCTATCTCTGGTTTTGTTTTGGCCTGTGTCTTGGAAGTGACTGGAGCCACCGGTTGCCTGGAGGGGATGACTGCCCTAATCACCTCCGGCTTTGAACGATTGTATTCCAGCAGCCTGGAAAAAGCATCTATTAGGAAGGTTTTCCCCCCTTGGAGGAAGCGGTTAAAGTACTGAGCCCAACGTACTTGTTTGGGACATAAATTCAGGGGTAGGATAGTGTTAGAGCCTCCAGATTCTTATGGTCAGTCCATACTTCAAATGGGTTTTTTTTTCCCCGCTAGGAAATGTCTCCAAGTTACGAGAGCCCAGTGCATCACATAAGCTTCCTTCTCCAAAACCGTCCATCTCCACTCTGTCTCATTAAACTTTTTATGGAAGTGTGGGTGCACGGCTGTAGGATCCCCTGCTCATTTTCCTGCAGAAGAACCGTGCCCGCTGCTATATCATTGGCGTCAGCCTGAATGATGAAGGGAACGTTGCGATCTGGATGTTTCAGCACTGGCTCTGCTGCAAAGAGGTACTAAAGCTTTCCAAATGTAGCTTGACATCCCATAGTCCATTTAAGTGGCTGGCTGGGCTTGAGGCTTTCTCTCCCCTTTTGTCTTTAGCAGGTTGATGATGGGGAGGGCTATCTGGGCAAATGAGGGAATGAATTGGTGGTAAAAGGTCGCAAATCCCAGGAAGCTTTGTAGTTGCTTCCGGGTGCAGGGAGGAGCCCCCTCTAGCACTGCCCACACCTTCTCAGGGTCCAACTCTATCCCTTCATGGGAAATGTGGTAGCCCAGATAATCTATTTTACTCTGGTGAAATCTATATTTGGATAGCTTGGCGTATAGTTTTGCCGCTCAAACCTCTGACTAGTTTTTCGTGTTCTGCCATTGTCTCAACGTAGATTAAAACATCCTCCAGGTAAACTAACTCTCCCTTACGCAGGTGTTCATGCGGCACTTTGTTTATCAGCTGCATGATCACAAAAGGGGATCCTTGCAGTCCAAAAGGGAGGACTCAGAATTGGAAATGTCCTAAGTGGCAATTGAAAGCTGTTTTCCACTCATCCCCCTATGGATACTTTAAGTTGTCTGAATCTCATTTGCAGTTTCTCAACCAGGGAAAAGGTTAACCAGACATCTGGTGCACCCCAAGTCCAAGAGGCCTCTTAGATTCCCTTTGCACCCCAAGGATTGAACCAGCAGTTCTATGAGGATGGTCACTGGGTTGACTGGGTGACTTACCAAGGATCATCAGTGTAGTCTGATTTGTTTCTTGCTGGACTGTCCACTGGGCCAGTCCGAATTCTCTCACCATCCTTGGGAGATGGGGTTCACTCTACAACCTCTACACCCTTCAGGACTGTCTTGTGGGTTCTCTGGCGGTTTTGCCAATTTTTTTGGCAAGGCTCAAAATTGCCTTCTGGGTTGGGTATGCAACCCGGCAGTTGGAAGCTCAGTGCCTCTCCTTCCCGCACCTGAAGCAACCAGCAAATCATCGGTATGGACTCTCCTCGCCTGCCAACAGTTTCAGAGCCTTTGGTTTCAAAGAGGGATGTTCACTACCCATGGCTCAGCCAGTATTTGGATTGAGCCAGGTCAATTTCCACTTCTGCTAGGACATATCAGCCATGGAGGTTGGGGGGTGGTGGTTCCTGAAGGTACAGGTTTTGGAGACCTTGTTGCTTAACCCCTCTTAGAAGCATCCGAACCATCTTCCCGCCAATCAGTCAACAAGCCAGGTTATGAAACTCTTGGGTGCATTTGGCCTCTCCCCCGTACCCTTGGATGATGGTTTTTATGTGATCTCTGGCTTTTCAATTGGCTAAGGCAGTGATGGATAACCTTTTCATCCTCAGGTGCCTAAAGTGCACATGGGTGCGCATGTGCGCACGCATGCATGCCTGCACCCATAATACAATGCATGCATGACCCCCCCCGCCCCATGTGACCCCCCCAATGCCCCGCCATTGCGCATGCATGGCAGATACCTAACAATCAGCTGGCTGGCGGGAGGCGTGCATGCATGCACAGTGGACCTGATCTGGGGCAACAGCTTGCGGGCCAGCAGAAATAGCTCTGTGTGCCACTTCCGACACGTGTGCCATAGGTTCGCCATCACGGGGCTAAGGAATCTTCGAAGCTCTTCCAAAGGGCGGCCATGAAGTTTCTCAGTTCTGAGGTATCATTGTGAAGGTGATGATCCATTCGGCTGTTATCCCATCCAACGCTATGGTCACACACCACACCTTGGCCACTTTGATGGGCTATTTTTGGACCATACTCTTACATGTATCTCCAGACATGTGCTAGGAAGAACTTTACAAACTCTGTTGAACCTTATGCCCGGAGCTGGTGTCTTGCTGCTGCTGCTACTAAAGTCAGGTCAGGCTAGGCTGCAGGGACAGATGCCGGAACATCTGCCTCTGCTGTGGGGCCCGTTTCTGCCACCGTTGCAGCAGAAGAAGTGGTTGCTCCATCATTCACTGTAACTGGAGTTGGTTGATTAGCAGGGTGGGCTAAGGCCAGGGCTTATTATGCTTTGAGGTTGCCAAAAGCCCCCTCAGGAACTTTATGGCTCCTCTCAATCCAGCTCGCCTGCAATTGGTTCTTCTTCCAGATCTACTCCAGGTCTCCTGCCAGCAGATGCCATGGCTCCCATGGGTGAACGTTACTCCCATGGGCTTCTCTTCCGACTCTTTTTTCACAATCTCAAGGGACCATCGCTGCAGTAAAGTCAGGCGAGCTCTGGGTTTCCTGTGATCCAAAAATACAGAAAAGTTTCCCCTAATCTAATCCCCCCACCTCGTGTCTTCAGCCAATTGGAACTCGTTAATGAGTTTTGAGAATGCTGAGATGTTTTGGGATAATTCACATTCTTTCTCAGAGTGCCTGGCCTTGGATACTCTTACAAACTGGTTCCAAACTTTGACTTCTCACCACATATTCTCAGTGTACTTGCTGCTTATATATACAATATGCAGTATGTCACTCATTCCCACAGCACCAGGTGGTTTATAGAGATGTCATATCTTAACATAACCTGTCATATTAACATGCACAAAACTTGAAAAGTTCTGGGTGAGAAGACATGTTTTGAGTCTTCTTCTAAACTATGTTATGGACCAAATACAGGGAAAAAAAATAGTGTTAATGAAGCACAGAAATTTCCCTCTTCTTTTTGCAGTATGAAGGCCAGCATGAAAATGCAAGTAATTTCTAAGTTAAGAATAAGGGCATATAAAAGGAACAACAAACAAACCTTTTAAGGACAGCTTTACAAGTAAAATTCAGAACAACTCACATTGTGAAATTCTGATTCTTACTTATGTAACGTGAATAATGAAGCAGAGGTTTTAAATTAACATTTTGACATTCTAGTTGAACTGACAATCTACCTAATAGAGTTTTACATTCTGAGTAAAAGAACAAGGAAATGGGGGGGGAAAAAGGATTAGTCATCACTTATAAAAAGACTTAATAGCTAAAGCAGGAAAGTCCCATAAAAGGTTTGAAAGAAGAGGAGGAACCCAGGAAGTATTACTCAAATTCAAAAAATAGATCCTGAGGTTTTAAAAGATCTGTGGGAAGATTTGGGCACCTGTAATTCGTGCAACAGAGCAACAAGGGTACAAACAGACCTGGCAGATTTGCATTACAGAAGAAAAAGAAAAAAAATACAATCGCACAGAGATTATTTACAATATATAAGTCAAGCAGGGGAGTTAATACATGCTGGCCCAGTGCAAAAGCTTCAGCATCAAGCAAATCTCACCTAGAAACATTGGATAAATGCTTTATTACTACAAACACAATCTTTGTTAAACAAAGTAATTCACATTTTAGCTGTAACACTAGCCATCCAAAAGAGGATGGAATCCAGTTCGTGCCAAAATCTTGAGAATGGAGAGATGTGTGACCTTGAAAGTCCTCTAAACACCTCCAGATCCAAAATATTTTGAGCAATTAAAATAAAACTTCATTTCTGATCCTATGATTATTAAATCAAAGTCACATCTTTCCCTGGCTACATCCTCCTTGTTTTGCCAAAGTTCCTCTCTGAAAAGTTACTTATTACGACTTTAAATTTCAATAATGGTAGACGATAGGATGCAACTATCAGGTTGTATTTTCTTATCTCTATTGCACCCTTTATATCTTATTAGTATTATAAAATTATAAAATCAATTATGAATGAGAAGAAAAGATGACAAAAGATGGAAGCAAAAGAGAATTTTGTTTTAAGTGACTGCATGGGATATTTTTTTTTTCATAGGAGGAGACACCATTTGACCAATAAGTTGTTTACTTAAATTCATTTTGATTCTTACACCAAATAGTACTATAGATTCATAACAACTCACTTTTGGCACATGTGGATTAAATTCCACTGCTCGATGAATAGCTTCCACTGCATTCATTTCTGCTGTGCTGAGACCTCTTCTTGAAGCTGCCTCTGGAGAAAATCTATTCAGAACAAAGAGAAGAGAAGCATGGAGATTAATTTTGGCGTCGCAAAGAAGCAAAAAAAAAAAGAAAAAAGGAAGAACTAAGCCCAAAGAGTCTTTGAAATCAGCTGAGCCAGTTCCCTTAGCTCTTACCAAACTTCCATGGCAAAAAAACATCCAAACATCTAAATTATAGAGATATTAAAAATCCCAGCAGAAGTCAAAAGCTTGTTTGAAATTTATAATGTTCAAGCCGTCCACGTTCTATTTCTGTCTGCCTGCTAATCTATATTTATTCTATGTGTTTGCTTTTAAAATCTCCGGCCTGGAGCGGGATATGGGAAGATGTAAGGGGTGTGTGTGGGGAGGGGAAACCCAGTCAATTTATAAATGGCATTTTAGGATGGCTTCAGGACTTCTCAACCCAATGCCGTTGAGACCGGTTGAGTTGAAAGCCTGGTGCAGCCGCAGTAGCGGAAGAGCTGTTCCCAGCTGCGTCCATTCCTGACCGTGTACCCAAACGGAGGGCAAATATGATCTGCCCCAGAGAGTGGAAGATGGGGAGAAAAAATACCCAGACCATGCAATCTCTTTCTCACCTTACACCCCACGGCTAACTCCATAGCTGTACTTGGCAGGCAGCCACCACAGGGAAAGCTGTGACAAACCTAGCCCTGCCCTCCCAAGCTGGAGTCGCTGTGTAGGGAGGAAAGAGTTGGTTGCAGTTGGTACTGGCGATCTACAGGACAAAAAAAGAATGAAAGGAAAAAAAAAATTACTCAGGTCTTGAAGTGCACATTACACTACAATAGCAAACTCTCTGGAAAAAAAAAAGCAGGAAGGGAAGCCGACTTTCCCATGCGGCCTGCTCCGTACCCACTCGGCTGAATTCAGAAAGCGTGGCAACGGCGGGATGTCTACTGCTTGGGATGGGCTCACTTCCACCTCTGATCAGACCCTGGCTCGGGTCCGGTGCTGTGCTTTGACAGCAACCATATGACAGGGCCAGACACCTTTCGGAGCTGCACACAGTTATACAAGTTAAAAGGACATCGTTTGCCTGCCAGGAATTCTTATGCAGTAAGCACCTGGTCTATCTGCCTCACATAAAGTTTAGCCCCTTCCCAGTCCAACACCACGCGTATTGTTCTGCTGGTAAAACTACATTGCCAGAATTACATTTATGGCATTCAAAATTCGGTTGCTTGCAGAAAGAAAGCAGCTAACTGGTGTGTGTGGTTTCTTCCCCAATTAAACAATATGGAAATTCATTGTTGTCCCCACAGTACCCATTCTTGGTACCCTGTTTCTCCAACAATAAGGCCTCCCCCAATAGGAAGTCCCAGCATGTTTTATAGGCATGAAATGAAATTAAGCCCCTCCCCCCAAATTAAGGCCTATATTAAAACATGCAAAATGGGGGGGAATGGTGGGGGGGCTGGCCCTTAGGAAGTGCTTTTGTTGCACACCCGGATATGTGCTGCCTGCATTGACCCCGATACAAAGTGACCCACCAACGCAGAGGTCAACATCCAAGCCGCTGCCACCCGCCCGAAGATGCAAAGGGGGGAATTAAGTCATCCCCGAAAAGACGACCTAGCCATTTTTTCGGGGCTCAAAAAAAATAAGACCCGGCCTTATTATATGAGAAACACGGTAGTATCTTTCAGACTTATGACAGGCTCAATGCTTTCCTGCCAGGATGAATAATCTTCAACTATGAAAAATATTTTGCCATATTTAACAAGTAAAATTTGAGCAGGCAGGAATTCTTAAAGACTTACTTGTCAGAGACAGCTCTGGCTTTGAGAAGGGCAGCTGTGTAGCATATTGTTGCTGATTTTGGTAAACTTATATCTGTTGGAAAGAAAAGAAACATAAGAATATATGATTCTTCCAGGTCTGCACTGAGGAGGGATCATTTCAAGTGGACAGCTAAAGAAAATAAAAAGGATAAAGAATAAGACATAGACGGCTATCAATACTCAGTAGAAGTTAATTTGATGAAATGGGAACATCTATTGTGAACTATGAGAAAATCAAAATCATGACATTTGCCTAAAAGGCCCCAAAATCACACTTGGAGGATAGATGGCCATAAATTTGAGCAGGTTTCCTGTTTTGGAAATCTGGGTTTAGCCCTACATTCTGACAATACTGAGAATCCCTATGGTGACTATATTGCTGATAAAGGAGTTCACCTACTATGTTTAAATTCTTCAGGAAAAGAGGTGACCGTGACATTTCTACAGCATTCAAATCATTTAAAGTCAAGCCAATAGCACCACCAGCAGGGTCCCTTTTCTAGTTTTGCGCCAGTAGAACTTGTCAAGTCCAAATTCCTAAGATCAGTTCTTCAAGCTCCAGAATGTATTTCTAATGCTACCTTGAGGCTAAAGACAGGCCTCTTGAAAGTAGAGGCCGGAGTGTGGGCAACCATATCAACTGCTGGCTTATAAGATCGATTTTTCCTCATGGCCTTGCCCTACTAACTATGAGGAATTTTTTTCAGTCCACATGGAAAACGACTGAGACATCTAAAATCACATATTTGGGGGTTTCTCCAGGTCTTCTACTCGGTATCGAACAAGGCTGTCAAACTCCTGGCCCACGGGCCAGATGCATCATGCACTGGCCACGCCCACGCCCGCTTTAGCAAAAGGCAAAAAAAGTTCCAATACATCATGTGACACCACCGTGACGATGTGAGTTTGATAGCCCTGGTGTAGGACATGATTGGGCCAAAACTCTCATCAAACAACATATAGCAGGCACAGAGCTGGACCTTACTAAATGCTAAGGTACCTAGTATGAATCTATTTTGCCAGGTACTTTTTAAAAATTACACAGTTTGTTGATTTATAAATAATGCTTATGCAGTAACCAGTTACCATTCCAGTCTTCCTCAACACAGAGCACACAATTTCCATCCAGTGCAGGCAAAGGAAAACACCAAATTTGGGAAGGCTGCAGTATTGTATTTATCTTACCATAACATGAATCCACAATTTTCAGATGCCTTATGGATGAAAGACACTAGGTAATAAATGTTTGTTGCTCCTGCATGTGGTATCTTTCTATATAATGTACTGTAGCCTACTTGAAATATCAACAGTGTACACAAACCAGTGTACATTGATATATAAAGCTAAGGTTTCCATTCTTTGGTTTCTCTATCCTTGGTCATTCTTCCCAGGGATGACTCAGACACTGGAAGTTGGAAGAATAACTTGAAGTAACAATCCATGCATAGGTTAGGTGGATAAGGGCTCAGATTCCTTCGTCTGTGACTTCTTTAAACTAAGATGCATATCCTTCTCCATCTTATGAAATTATATATAAATTCACAGAAAAATGTAATATATTCAGCATGATTGTGGTTTAAGTATAGTCTCCATTAGTCAACTGTTCTTAAGGTTTTTTTGGAATTTAAGAGGAGTAATGTACTTTAAAGCTTGTTGGCATATGTGGGGCATGTGCAGATATCTCCAGAGACAAAAGTGAAGAAAAAAAAAACAGCCAGAGAAGCAAGCAGAAGTCAATCAATAGACCTCTTTCCCATTTACCAAAATAGAATGTGCTTAATCAATCTCAAACCATTAGTACTTAGAAGATTTGGTCTTTGAATCAAACCATCCAATTTGTGCATCCAAACTGCTGTAACTTCACTGCTGCTCCCCTTATTATTTATTTAACCAATTGATATTCTGCTCTTTTCATATTCACAGCAAGTAGACAAGACAAATGGCCATTTACCACCATCAAATTCCTAAAAGTCAGGCAAACACAAGAGATAAAAAATAAAGCAACAGAGAGAAGAAGCAAATGGTTTCCTGGTTCAGAATTCAAATACCATAGCAAACACTACCAAACATTACACAAAACAGCCTACTCTATGGCATCCCTTGACATTTAATAGAACAGTATTTGAACTACATTCAGTAACCTGATGATCACCCTCACCTGCCTCACTAAGCAAACAAAGCCAATACCCAGTCGAGTTTTAGGTTTTCAAGACTCCATTGGGATCATGAAAAAAAGGATTCACTGATATTCAAAAATACACATCCAAAGTTAATTTCTTATTCATTCTATTTGCAAACCAAGCATTATATACATTTATGCATTGTAATAATTTTAATCTGGGACACCAGATTGCTGAAACCTGCATATTTTTGTACAACGTATAGATTAGGGGTGTCAAACTCAAGGCCTGTGGGCCACCCTGGAAACAGCCCACAGAGTGCTTAGATCGGGCCCGCGGGACCACCCTGGAAACAGCGAAGGACCAGCCTGTAGTACCTCTGCCAGTGAAAACAGAGCAAAACAGGCAAAAAGCTCCCTTTTCATTGGCAGAGGGTTGTAGGAGACCGGCACAAACTAAAATGGAGCTTGGAAGCCTGTTTTCACTGGCAGAGCCCTTGGGCCACCACAGGTGCCCCTGACACGGGTGGTGTCGAGCGATGTCGAGCTGGCCACATTCACCCTGCACCCCCCCCGGGGCCTAATGCGGCCCTCAATGAAATTGAGTTTGAACCCCCCCCCCCCAAGGTATAGATGGTGGTCAAGGAAAGGCTCGATGACTCACTTTGCAAATGGGGTGAGGAAAAAATTGTTCTTTGTTGAAGCCAAGATCAGAAGTAACCGATTTATACATTTCTGAACATTAGCTGCTGAGAAAAAAATAAAATGAGGGAACTCTTCTGATCTTTTTTCTGGCTGGCCATCATAGTAAACAAAATGCTGAATTTGAATTCTTTGCAGTTGGAATATTGTATCAGAGACACCAGAACCAACATCTGTTGTGACTTTATATTCATCCTACACAACTCTTATACTGATATCTGGACTGCAAAAAAATCGTATGACCTATAAAAACTAAGCAAAATTGGGGTTTCAATCTCTTTTTGCTGCCATCAAGTGGTTGCCTATAATCTGATAGACCTAATATTTTAAATGTTTTAGATTATCCATGTTATACTGCTGCTTAGTAGTATAATTCCCAAAGCCTCCCTTACTATCTTGTAATAATTTTAATTTTATTCGTGTTTTTTTTCCCTAGCCAAACAAATTTCATTATTATTTTATTCAGTTCTTCGAAGAATTTCTTTTCTAATTTTATTGGTGCTCTTTGAAAAAGAAATAAAATTTTTGGTAGGATATTTATTTTGAGTGTAGCGATTCTTCCATGATAGTTGTAATTTCCCCCAATTGTCCAAATCTTTTTTTATTTGTAACAGCAGTTTGTTATAACTATCTTCTTTTATTGATGAACATTTTGCTGTCAGCCAAATTCCAAGATATTTTACTTTCTTAACTATCTGTATTTCCAATTTTTCCTTTAGATCTTTTTGCGTATTATGGGTGAGATTTTTGGTTATTATTTTTGTCTTATCTTTATTTACAGCTACTTTGCCAAATTTTTCTATTTTTTGTATTAATTTATTCCCCGTTTCTAAAAAATTCCTCTATAATAAATACCAAATCATCTGCAAAGGCCTGGACTTTGTATTCTTTCTTTTTTATTTTTAGGCCTTTTATGTCTAATGTGTGATATAATACTTCTAGCAATAGTATACATAAAAGGGGCAAAAGTTGGCATTCCTGTCTTACACCTTTGGTTATATTAAGTTTTTCTGTTAATTCCCTATTTATTACTATTTTTGCTGTTTGGGTGGAGTAAATTGCGCTTATCATCCCCACAAATTTTTCCCCAAAATTCATAGTATTTAGTTCAGTGGTGGGATTCAAATTTTTTTACTACCAGTTCTGTGGGCGTGGCTTGGGGGGGCATGGCAGGGGAAGGATACTATAAAATCTCCAGTCAGAGGTAGTATTTGCCGGTTCTCTGAACTACTCAAATTTCCGCTACCAGTTCTCCAGAACTGGTCAGAACCTGCTGAATACCCCCTCTGATTTAGTTGGTGAATAAGAAGCCACCAATTGCTAAAAATTGGAAAAAAGAGAAAATTCCATTGCAGGAAGAAATTATTAAGAAAATATTGGAATGTGCTGAGATGAGTAGATTGACATTTGAAATTAGAGAGCAAGAAGATAAACAATTTTATAAAATTTGTGACCTTTTCTATCAATGGTTAGATGATGAAATATGACAATAGAATACTTAGAATTTTAGATAATAAGGAATATTCTTGTTTTTTCTTTTTCTTTTGTTATTAGATACTATATCTATAAAGTGTTTTTTTTTTTTAGGATAGAATTGGCATGATTATATGATTTGTTATAGAATAAATTATTTAAATTATAGTTATCCCATAAAGTATGAATGAATAAAAGTATAGTCAAATGATTTTTTTTTAACAATGATATGAGGATATATAAGTTAGGATTGAAAATAAGAGCTATTATGTAACATAACCGTAATTGAGACTACGAAATGGATGCACAAAACTGATGAACCAACCGACACACTGTTTGTATATAAGTATGGAAGAGAGCTGATGCTTTTATGTTTGGTCTGTTTTTGTCTGTTTGTTAAAAAAACCAATAAAACTGGTTTTTTTTTTTAAAAAAAAAGAAGCCACCAATTTAAATTATCAAATGCTTTTGGGGCATCCAGAAATATCAGCACAGCTTGTTTCTCTGGGTGAGCTTCGTAGAATTCCAGTACATTCATAATCATTCCAGTGTTATTTCTCAACTGTCTTTTTGGTAGAAACCTGTTTTCGTCTACATATATAATTTCGCTTAATAATTGTTTGGTTCTTTCTGCAATTATAGTGGCAAATATTTTATAGTCAGAATTTAGTAGCGAGATGGCTTTTGATTTGCTGGTTATCTGCCTCTTCCTTTAAGATTAACATAATGTACGCTTCTGTATTTGGACCCTTTTTAGATGAGTTTCATGCTAGGATATCTTTACCAAGAATGCACAAATGGTTCTAATGGGTGCTATATAGCAAGATTCCTAGTCCTCTTCAACCTCACAGTTGCGTTTTATCACATCCATTACAAAATCATTTTGAACTGTCTCTGGGAATAGAAAAGGAAGCCTAGTGTTATAGTTTATCTGGGACCCGTTTCAGTTGGTAGTGATGGGAAGGGAGAGGTCAAGTTCTAAAAGGTAATGAAAGTATGTAACTTTCTCTGCTCCATAGTTTAAGCAGCAGTGGCAAGTGATTCATCAACACAGAGTGATACCCATTGCTCCTCTCAATTTCAGGCCAAACAGAATATATGGGATTGTCAGGATCTGGATAGGAATGAACAGATTCTGGTTTACTTCCTGCAAGATGGAGATGCCATAGGTTCAGAGGTCAAGGAGCCATTAGTCTTGGATTGGATTGGTTCCCTCGTTTTAAATTACTCTACAACCTGGAAGTCTTCTTCAACTCCCAACTCTTGCTTATTGAGATAGTGGCATTGTGATTAAAATGGCGATGATAGGAGGTTGTTTTGCAGCATATTAACTATTCATATTGCAACTGTAAGATATGGTGATCTTTATTATATAATTGGACTATATGCCCTCAGAGCTGTCTATGAATAAAAATGGCTTGCAAACCCATGAAATAAATTGGTAGCATGAATTTATTAAATTTTAAAATCAGAGTTTACTAAATCTGATGCTTCTAGTCCACTGTTTGGATTTTGCTGCAAACAACAAGCAAGTGCCCTATTATAAACAAATTGTACGTGATTATATAGTCCATTTATATGGTACATCTGGCAACAAGTCAAGATCAACAGGGAAGCAAAGCCAACAATAAGATATTTACTGTTATTAGAAACATAATTAAGGTTTTGTAGTTCACCAATTGTCACTTTAGCATTCTGTGTAATCCACTCCATTAGTTTGTTTATCTTCCTCCCTTTTGCTACCCAAAAAGCCAGAAATTCTTTTTTCCTAGAATATTTTTGTTATAAAAGCAGTGTCCTTGAGAACAAAGGCAGTCAAAATCCTTCAATAGTAAATCAAAATAGATGTATGAAGCCAACTGAAAAATGCAGTTAGGCGGGCTCCTCGTCCCCATTTTTTGTTCTCGTGGGGCCTATCTGAAATTCTGAGGACAAGTTGTGTAGAAAAATGTCTATTTCCAAAGGGCCCTGGTTCACATGAGGGGCATTTATCAAAATGCAATTCCCACTAGTGCAGGGGCGTCAAACACAAGGCCCGTGGAGTACTTAAATCTGGCCTGTGGGGGCACCCTGGAAACAGCAAAGGACTGGCTCGTGGTGGGTCAGAGAAAACAGAGCTTGGGAGGGCCACACATGGCCGTTCCAGGCTGCTGTTTCTGCCGCAACAGCCTCCTGCAGCTCTCTGCCAGCGAAAATGGAGCTCCATTTTTCCATTGCAGCTGAAATGGGGCCACCATTTTCACTGCAGGGGCTGCAGAAGGCTGTCGTGGCCAAAAACGGGGCCCAGAGGCAGGCACCCAGGGCTTCATTTTCACTGGCAGAGGGCTAGCAAAACAAACTAAAAGCAAAACCAAACCAAAGGAGAGATGTTTCTTTCCCCTTTTGCATTTGAGCATCCAAGAAGAAACAGGAACGGAGAAAGGAAAAGAGGAAACACAAAGAAAAAGAAGTTAAATGGCGCAAATCCTTTATTATTTTTTTTACAAATTATAGAATGTAAAATAATCAAATGGGACAGCAAATAGAGAAGTGACATATGGGGATCTCTTTTCCTAGAGCTCCTAAGTGACATACAGCAGTTAAGATTTCTCAGAATGCACACAGCAAAAAAAAATTTCTACTTATTGAAGCTTGTGGCAGTTCACACAAAGTATGTCACAGTCTGCTGCTTTGTAAAAGTCTGTGGATTGAAGTACTGATCCAACACTGGTAATAAAGATAAGGAAGAATGTGCTAATTTACATACTACTCAGAAACCTCATTTATGTTTCATCCAATAGCAAAAGATTGATGGGTGGCTTAGTATAAAAATGGGTAATTTCAAGTTTTAAAAAGCGGGTTTATTTTAGAGGCGCTTCAAAAATTAGCTCTCCGGGAAGAATGCAACAGAAAGAGAAATTGTTCTGGTCAGAAGCCATCTTAGATTCCACATGCATAGCTTCTGCAGTTAGCAATTTTGGTGGCTGCAATATCAAACTGCTATTGCTAGAAGGAAATGACTCACTTAGGCAAGTCTTATTTCCTTCCTCCAAGGCTTCCTGAAAACTTTTACCTGTACCTGTTTTCAAGAGTTTGAGTGGCACTTCTAAAGTAAGAAAACACGGAAGAAAGAAACAGTTCTTGCTTAGGTCCTATCACTTCACCTTAAATTCTCATGAAATTAGAAAGGTTTTTTTTTTGTAAAGCAAAAAGGTACAAAGTCACAAACTCACAAACTCACAGAAGAGTTAGCAAAACTCTGAAATTCATCAAGAAATAAATAAAATGATGAATGGAAGGAGTTAGTTGTCCTTCATTATTACAACGTTTAAAACCTAGGTATCATCAATTAAATGGAATTCTTTGGAAGCTACACTTACTATAACTGCTTAAAAACATCTTGCAAAGCAAATAAAAAGAAAATCAGAACATGGACCTTTCTCTCCTTAAACATGATTTTGTTAAAGGACATTGCTCTCCTTTGTTTGACTCCCATAGAGGCCACAGAGTATCAGGGTATATAAAGAGCTACTTCGCTTACCATCATATTTTGCTAAAACAGCTTGGACATCTGCATAGGCTTGTAACTCCAGCAAAGCTTCTAGCAAATTTTCGTGGATGTTGAACATGCTAAGAAGCGGGAATTCCTTCATCAACTTCAAAGAAAGAAAGAAAGAAAATATATAGGTTTAGTATTTGGCATGGTATTTTACATGGAAACTATAAAATAAAATTATGATGACTGTTCACCTTTAATAATCTCATCACACCATTCTCTGAACTTAAGAACATGAACATAATCCATAGGCATACAGGGTTAGTTTAATAAATCCAAAAACAGCTGCATTAAAAAACAATGCACCGAAATTTTCTAGTAAAGCCAGTACTAAGCTAGATGGACCAAAGAGTCTAACTTGATTAACAACATTTTTATTTTACAGACCATTTTTCTATCTTGCAACCAAGAGAATGGAAAATAGATGACTTGGGGCTTATGTAGGCTTCCATAAATTATACCGAGAACCTGATTTGGATCAACTGGATATTCTGAAATGCTGGCAGGATGTAGTTAGCTTTAAGTTAAACTTTCTTTAAGTCCAATTTCTCATGCCTTATTAAGACATTTTCATATTATTTCCTGATAAGGAGCATAGGAAAGGCATTAAAGATGTTTTATTTATTTATTTCATTGATTGATTTCTATAGCTGCCTATCCAAGTCAAGTAACTCTAGATGGCTTACAATTTTAAAATAAAAAACAGTTAAAACAATGAATAAAACAGTGAAAAACATCCCAAAAATGTTTTCATAATGTTACATTCTATTACCACATTTCCTCATTATTTGTGGGTTACAGAAATGATGGAAACACCAAGAAGTGGATGGCAGGATAACATCTAAGGCCCCTCTGAAGAAATAGGTCTATAAAACAACTTCCGTTAAAAGATTTGGCAAATACCAACATACTATAATTATATGGGTGAGTAATGATAGCAAAATATAATTAAGCTGGCTTAAAAAATGGTAATTATCAAAGCACAGCAAGAATCTGCTAAATTTAATTGATTCCATTTAAGACACATGGACATTTGTTCTAGGGATATATAATCTTGATCACCTTATTAAGGTTCATTTGTCTAATCATTGCAGCAACAGCTCTTGTGTTCCTAATTTTACTTCTGAAGATCGGAAAGGAGTATTTTAATTTTACTAGCCCATTAAATTACATTCTCCAGAGCCATTTGTATCTAGAAAAGCCAAAGACTGACTAGATGAAATATGCCTAATCCTTCTTATTTGAGGTCAATATATCTACACTGAAATATTCATTTTTTTATCATTATTAACTTTTCAGGATTGAGTTACAATACTGAAGCTAGCTTCAAATTTTATTTAAATATTGCTCTGCTTATTACATAAAATGTTTTAAAATGAAAATAAAAGTCCTATCAGGTCTTAAGATACTTGTATCACAAAACAGTGAGAAACGAACAACCAAAACTGGACTGGAAAAATTATACTTTCCTAAACAGATGAAGTACAAAAACTCAATATTTCACCCATTGGTTAAAAAATCCTCCAAGAGTTTGGTCTAGAACAGGGGTGCATGTGGCTGGGAAATTCTGAAATTTGAAGTTCACAAATCTTAAAATTGCCAAGGTCCAGAAAGAGAAGGTATCAATTTAGTCCAAATTTGAACAACTGTGAGGCTTCTGTATTGATGATGGCAGATGAGATTCTGCCGAAACGTTGCTACAACTTTAAAAGCACAACTATAATGATGTGGGAAAATACCCGAACAAAGCCGAATTCCATACATGTAAGTACCTGCAAAAACTTAAGAAAACACACACACACATGTATGTATGTATGTATGTATGTATGTATGTGTGTGTGTGGGGGGGGGGTTATATTTGATAAGAGCACAAAACCATTATAATTTTAAAGCAACTTCAATGCATGCAAAAGTCTTTATGTTTGGGATGGTGGTGGTGAGAAGACAGTGAGAGTGATTAATTAAAGTCCACTTTTATTGCAGAAATAGAAAGGCACAATGATCTACTCTGAGTAAAAAAATCAAAATTTAAAATGCACATAAATGGTAGATTGCAAATAATCTAACTGAAAAGGCTTCCCTTACTTCATGCAGATAAACTCTGAGATAGCAAATAAAACAAGGAATTCATTGAAAATTAAAATATATCTATTTGTTTCATTTAATGAATCTTGTTCCTTATTTTAAAGAAGATATGAAAAGGATAGGAAGAAAAGGACATTGTCTAGACCAAGGGTGTCAAACTCAAGGCCCACGAACTGGATCCAGGCTGCAGGGTGTTTAGATCCGGGCCACAGGGCCAGTCTGGAAATAGCAGACTGGCCTGGGATGCCTCTGCTAACAAAAACAGGCTGTGGTAGGGCCACATCCCATTTTGGCCGGCAGAGTGCTACAGGAGGGCATCCATCCTATCTCCCCTCTCACATCCAGCCCATGGAGGAAAACTACAATGCTGATCTGGCCCTCCAAGAAATCCAGTTTGACACCCCTGATCTTGTTCGTTTGCTAAGACTTGCAAGTCAACGATTTTATCAGAAAAGACGTCTTTTTAAAGTGCCTTGCTTATCTAGTCAAAGTGATTTTGGATTGGAAAACAACCATCCCTTGAGTCTTAAAATGAATGCAATAAAAAAGAACTCCAATGTGCTTCACATGTTAAACTACTACATTTATCTCTTTTTTTTTAACATGGAAATCAAGATTTCAATTCTGTTCTTACAGGCCTACAAAGCATTTCCCTCCATGCATAAGGGGAGCTAAAATCTTTCTGTGGGCTGCAGGAACATCTCAGTGGGAAAGGACTGCCTCTCGGAGGAATTTTGAAATAATTGAACTCAATTACATGGTAGCCTTATAGGATGACAGTTATTGAAACTAAACTTTTTCTGTTAAACCATAAGGAAATATACATGTAGTTTGACATCCCAATCCCAAAACAGCATCTCTTTTTAAGCTTTGTCATATAATTTGATCGGAATTCTTTTTCCTATACCCTGACATGAAGATCCTGGTTTTAATATATATTTGGTTTCTTTGGTGCTTTTTTTTCCAGGTTTCTCACAATGTTTTCTATACTGTTGTCATTGAGAATCATAGTTCACACTTTGGCAATCTATGTCATTCAGCCCAGAGGCTGAATCCGGCCCATGAGGTGCTTAGATCTGACCCGTGGGGCCGCCCTGAAAACAGTGAAGGACTGGCCCAAGGTGCCTCTGCCAGTGAAAACGGAGCCCAGGAGGGCTCTCCCAAGCTCCATTTTCACTGGCTGCAGGAGGCTCTTGCGGTTGAAAATGTAGCCCAGGGTCCACACGCCATCCCCCTGTGTCTGTTTTCGCTGGCAGAGGGCTAGCAAAACAAACTAAACGCAAAACAAAACAAAAGGAGAAATGTTTCCCCTTTTTTACATTTGACCACGCAAGATGGAATGAGAAAGGGAAAGAGGAAAGACAAGGAAGGAAGGAAGGAAGGAAGGAAGGAAGGAAGGAAGGAAGGAAGGAAGGAAGGAAGGAAGGAAGGAAGGAAGGA